TTCATTCAGAAAGTGATATTTTCTAATCCTGCTTTTAAAATAGATTACATCAATTATAATTTTACATGAATATGATTCACAGAATTACTTAACATAGTTCATATGTAATTATAAATAGAAATGAATAAACATGTTCTTCAATATGAGGAAACACCTGAGTCACCAAAACTTTGAAATATAATGTATGTAATTTTGATATTATTATTTGAATGACTATTTTTTAAGAAGAAATACAGAAGTAAAACATCCTGTATGAGCAATGGACTTTCCTATTACTTTCATCTCTTTCTCATTCCCATAGCTGTCTACTGTCAACTAATATTAACATAACAAAACTCCAAGTGCAGAGATTCCATTCACCTCCATGGCCAGCAAGAACAGCTAGAAACTGCAGCCTGAGGACACAGGAATTAGCTATTATGGTACAAACCCTGAAAAGGCACATGGAGAGGTGTCAGCTACAGTGGCAAGCAGTAATTCCCTCATGCAGCTGCAGCTCATACATCTACTGAAAGGTGCAAATACTTCTTCCTGAAGCCTCCTCTGGCTGCTGGTTCCTCCAGCCCTTTGCCACCCACTTAGACTCTACTTGGCCGCTGCAAAACTGAATTTTGTCTTTAAATATCGACACAACATTGACAATGTAGTATATTTTGATACTCATAGGTCTATATTTACTTATAGTTATTTGCTAAGTGTGAAGAATCTTAGAGAACCAATGCAGCTGCTCAATCTATTAGGATATGGGATGCTATCCTTCTATCAGTTGAGTAATACATTGCTTAAATTTGAAATATATCTAATAGCATGAAGAATTATAAAAGTAAGGAACATTTGGTTTTAAAAACTCTTTCGTTTTCTTTACAAATACTCAGATATGCAGAAGAACTGACAGTTTACATTGTTTATATTGCACATTAAGTATCGTGCTCCGCACTAATTTTCTATCACTTAATTCTTCAGCATTCCTTTACAATTTTAGGTAGTAAATTTGAAAAAAAATGTAAATATTTTAGACTACAATATTCATTTTAAAAATAAATACAATTTGAATGTATATCTGATTGACAGAAGATTCCCTTCCAATCACTACATCTCAAAAATAGAATTTTATTGCAGTCTATTTTAAATGCGTTTGTTGCCTGCAGTTAGAGTCAACTGCCTCAAAATACAAGCACAGTCTGCTGCCTATATGAAGGAATTTAAAAACTATTGTAAATAGAAAATTTTAAAGAGTAAAAGGAGTATCTTTTGTTGCTCAATAAGATTTTGCTTGCCTTCCAAGATCGTACTAAGGCAAGATACAGATCAACAGCTGAAAAAAACATAGTTCAGAAACCTATGAGAGTCATGTTAGTTCTTGTTTTAAAACAGGAATTGGCACATTAAAAACTGCTGAATAACTCTCTGTTGTCAAAGGACAAGTGAAAAAAAAAGTAGGATATAATATATATAGTAAAAACCTACTCTTGTGATTACTCTGCTTCACTGACAGGCAGCAGCATAAGCCATTCCAGAAAATGGTGATAAGTACTAAGGGTAGCTGAAAAAAACTAAAGACAAAACACAACCATCTCCTTATATTTTCCTGTCTTTCAAGGATACTTATCATAATGACTTCGCATTTTGCATGGAAGGTACTCTTGTGATTAACAGTTTGATGTCTGCTGGTGAAGAAAAGATGCTGTAATAAAAGAAGGACTTCTCCTCCTCTCATGTCTAAATGACAGAGTAAGGCAGAAGCCACTCTTGGTTAGTACTCATGGTCCAGCAGCACTATCATCTCTCAGCTAGAGATGCACTAATCTAACTTATGGTGCATAAATGAAAAAAAAATAATTTCACTTAAAATTCATACAGGCTGCTTAAAGAAAATGAATAAAAGACTTCAATAAGAGTAGACATACAGAGCAGTTTCATGGCTTTATTTAATAAGAAAATACAAAAAAACCCTGAAACTAACTAAATTGAACTGAGAGAAATAATGGAAAAACTCTTGCATGCAACTGAAAGCAACCTTAATGAAATTAAATAATAAGATTATAATAACGATTTTCACCTTGATCACCCCCTTAAAATATCCCAATTTTGCAAAATGGATTTGTTTTAGCTGTAAAGCAATGGCAATATTCTTCCCCAAATTTTGGATGAGAGTACTATACTGTTGTGTAGAAAGCCATAAACCTGCCTGCAATAGCTTGTATCTTCCCTGTCACATAGATGATGCAGTAGATTTGCAAGTCAGTTTGACAGAATAATCCTCTTCTTGCTTATTTCTCACATCCACATATACCAATCACAGTCTTCCTTACAGCAAAAATTCCACTTAAAAAAAATCAGAAAATAAGGGTACTAATGAAGATTCATGAAAGTGCAAGAATTCCTTTAAGAAAAAGGCTGTGGCTCTGGGCTGTGAAAAACTTGGAGCTTCAAACATGTGGAAAAACCTTTTATGACAAAGGTCTCTATTTCTAACTAGATGAGCAGTCACCTCAGAGAGTATATCTGGAGTATGCAGTAAGCTTTTAGGGTGGAAAATGAAACTAATATGCAAGTAAAACTGTCAGATGTCAGAAAATATGTGGAGAAAGTGAGAACAGAAAATGTTAGGCAGGGTCAGATCTTGCAAAATTGCAAGTACTAAAATGCACTTTCATCATCCATATAAAACCAGGAAAAAGTGGCTTCACCAAGCAGCAAAAAGCAGTTAAGATTAAAGATAATTTACAGACAGTCCAAAACAAAATTAATATGGGGTTGTTGACTACAGCAGTAAATGCAGTGTGGCTAATGATACAGACTGTGGAAATGAAAATTACTCATCTAAGATGAGAACAAAACAAAGACATAAAACTGTTTCTAAGGAAGTGTCTAGACCAGGAGGGTGAGACCCCATAATCTCCACTCAAGAGTACTTAAAATACTTGCACACAAAAAGACAGCTTCATAACAAAGACTTTTAATGAAACTACCAGGCTGGTAATCAAATGTCTAAAAAATAAACAAATTCTAACTCACTTTTTTTCTTTTAAGTAAAAGGGATGTATATGATCCAGACAACATAAACATAAGTAGCTCTGACATCATGAGCTGTGCAAGGATTTGTAACAAATTAGGAAGCATTGCATAACTAGAGACACTGAGATAATGAAAAACGGAATATAATGAATAAAAACTTTATCCTAAAAATAGACTGTCATTATTCCAAATTAATCTGGCATCTCTATACGATAACTGATATTAAAAAAAAAAGGAATATGGTAAATGTAGCTGATACGATCATATATATTGCATACAGTGTCACAAAAAAAATAGTATGGATAAGGTACTCTAGAAAAAAGAATCACAATTTGGTTTAAGGGAAGGTAACAACATTATCATGAAAAGGGATATTACTGGGATAGAGGAAGATTACTGGTGATGTTTCAGAGGATGTTTTTGGAACCAAATGTGTTTTGCTGATATTGATACAAAAATTCAGAGTATGCTAACAACATTTGCCAAGAACACAAAGCTGTAAACCCTCAGTAGAAAAGTGAAGACAGAAAATCATATAGTATGAACTGGACTGACAGTCTGAAGGATTGAAGTAATTAAAGTGGATTGAAACTAGAAATACAAAGCACAGGGTCACACACCATGGACAAGGAAAGGATGCCATAGACTAAAGCATCCCCAGTTGGAAACAAAACGAAGAGCCTGAGTGTATGCTCGTATCAGCTGCTGAAAGATGGTGTGACTAAGTGTTTAGCTGAAAAGAGTCTGAGATATACCCATTGAAGACATATCAGTAGAGACAGAAAATGGTAGCAAACTTGCATTTGAAATACTATGCATGATATATGTATAAAATGGACGTGGCTTCGGTTTATGCTGGAAAATTGCCATTAGGTCTCTAAACCTCAGAAGAATGAGTCAATTTTACCAAAGAAAACACGTAATTTTAGCCACCTGCAAAGTTGCAATAAACTAGGAATTAAAACACCTCAGCTGACAAATGGTAATTTAGACACAGTCCTTTGGCTCTGATCACATGCTTTAGCCCTTAGACTCTTAATTTCTTTCTAAGTGCATTTTAAAAATGTTTTTCTACTCGATGTTTGCACACCTATAGGTCCACAAGCAAAGACACAAATGTAAAATCTCTGGCCAAAAGTTTTTAATCCAAATCTGAACTGTGTGTACTCAAGACACCAATCTAGATGCCTGATTTCGCTGGAATCCATCTGCAATCCATCATGAGAGACAAGCGCTTCTGAAGAGTGATTCGGGTCCTGTGTGGGCTAAATAGTCCTCAGAGGCTGGCTGTCTTTCTTCACTAAACTCCTTGAAGCTTATAATGATTGAATAGGATACACAAACTTAACTGATAGGGCTTCAGAGTTTGGTGCATCACTAGACACATATGTGTGCAAATAAGCATTCATTTATTTTCTTTTGCTTCACTATACAATAATCTATGACAGGCTTTAAATATTCTAATGCACTTTGAATTTAGAAAAAAAAGGAGAAGGATATCACCTTAGCTACAGGTTGAACTCCATCAGTTAATGAAAACAAATATATTACATAATTGTTGGGTAAACACAAAACTGAATTTGAACATCACTTCCATTTCTATGTGCCTACAGAAATTGTAGCATTCAGCAGTGCTATTGCTATTTCTGTGCCTCCCTCTAGTAGAGATTTTCTCCACCTCTGTACTTGTTTTGATTTAGATTTTTTTTATTTCATACTAATGTTCACTATGGTTGAAAGCTCTGCTACATCCTAGTGGTTAAACTTTCCATAAGCAATGCAAACAGTAAAAAAAACTTGTTTAGTTACTTACCATGTTCTTGCCACCTAAGAGCATGTGTGAATGTTTGCATGCCTATGTGTTGTGTTTATCTTGTCTACTGAGCAATGGTGGGGCACAAAAATGAACACAAAATGAAGTGTTTCCTTAGAAACGCTTGGTGGA